ACTTTTCGGCACAGTCAATGTACTCGTACGGAAAAACACCCTTTCGCGTCAATAATTCGAAATCTTCGGTAGACAAATTTGGAAACTCGGTTCGTAAAATTCTTAATTTGGTTTTATCTAAGAAAGACGCTAATTTATCGAGACTGGTACTCAAGAATTTGTATAAATCGATGAATCTCAATTTTATACAATTTCGCGACTGTCCATTTGGATCTTCGACACTTTTTGTGAACGAGATGTACTTTTCTTTTGTTATCGGCAATACACTGACGGCACCCTCGAAGGCTGTAGCTATTTCTTCGATAATAAAACCCGAATCGTAACCGGACAAATTATGAAAAACTATGGGAATGCAAAAAGAGTTTTTATAATTTAGATTACAATTGGAGTGCGCGGGACCGCTGTACCGACCGGTTAGATGGCAATGACAATGCGTCGCGTTGCGAAATGCCTCCTGCTCTTCGCTCGGTAAATTATCCATTTGTATGTTATTCGATCAAATTGATTTAACAAAATGTGCCAAATTCTTTAATTCTTCGACGAACCAGGAAACACGATTCGCATCACGACGACATTGATACACCGACAAGGACGAATCGTATGCGCATTGAACATAATATGCAATACTAAATACTTTATGATGCTGGTACGTGAATCTTTGCGCTTCTCGATCAGTTTTCTCCATAATGCACTGGTGGTCGGCGTACACCAGAAATGGAAGTCGCTCTTTCTGGATGTAGTTGTTGAAGCTGAGCCACTTGCTTTCATCATCTAGTGATACAATTGCGCAATCATTTATCTTCTCGCAATCTACGGTGTGAGCTTCCAGCTTCTCACTCGAACTAAAGTAGTGCAAGCATCTGCAATAAAAAGACATAAATTCTTTTCAAACATATATTTAAAAAAGAATTATTATATTCATACCTATCGCAAACGTATTTTCTGCGTTTATGTTTACTCAATTGTGAGCTCACGAGGCGAGACAAGTTTTTGATCCACGCGAAATGTCCCAAGCCGTTTGGTCCTTCTAAATACAGCAAATTGACATGTCTCTCCATCTACTGTGTGGCGAGCCGTATCGGTAGACCTTCTTTTCTTCAGTGGTGTAGACGTTGATGGAGATGTTGTTGACGTGTTCAAACTTTTTAATTTGGTTCAATGTCATTGGGAATTCGATATCCTGGATATTCAACACCGTTGAATAATGAGGATATTTCGATGCTCGTGCTACGTATGCCCACCCGTTCTTTTCGAAGCTCGCGTTCATCTATTTTATCTACCCCTTGGAATGTGGAGTCTGGTCTTACCGAAGTGCACTCTGCAGCTGGCATGGAAGCATTCTCGACTCCCGCATCGCCAGTGCGTTAACACTGTGCAACAATTAGGTAATTAAATTCATACACTAACCGCGACAACACGACACTGTACAATTGTATTATTAGAATTATTCAGTTTTGAATATATAATCATTTGTTAACTTTAAAAGGCCTGTTAAATCATTATTAAACCTTCACCATTGGAATAAGCAATCCTAACCACTGTAACGACCCACAAAATAATAACTTTACCGCTCGAGTTATTATTTGTTTAGAATTAATAGTTGTGAGGCTTTATCCACGACGCGTATTATATTCCAACGATACGATTCAATCCTTACCTAACCTTCCCAACGGTTACCTTTTACCGGGCGATACCGATCCTACGGTTACCCTTAATTGGGAGATACCAATCTTTTCTTTCTTATTCTTTACCTAACCTTCCCAACGGTTACCCTTTACCGGGAGATACCAATTCCCAGCAGCTATCTGACTTCGCGTCAGAGTCGTCTGCGATTTCTACTTCATCCCCAATCTTTGGATCCATTGAAATAAACAGGACTAGGAGATAATCGTATCTTCTCCGATTCTTGAATTCAACCCACTCGCAGGGCTCATACGCGCGACGCTATCGCCCTGGCTCGTAACACCCGATATACGTGACTTTCGAGTGGATGCAGAGCAGCCACTATTGACCACGCGAAACATGCATTGTCGTTCGAGCATACGTTGATTACAGTTCTCTTTAGTTGTATTTCTCGTGGTAATTGTGTGGTACATCCAGTATGCAACGGCATATATTTATTCACGTTAACAATTAAATCGAGTATATGCGACAGCGCCCAACCGCTATCCCGTTCTTGAAATTCTTCCAGCGATGCTAGGGTGGTTTCGACGACGCGTTGCTTGTACCAGTCTTCGAGATTGATCGCGTCGAAGATTTCACAGTTCTTCGTGCTGATAGTCTTGTTCGAGCGTTTATCACCCGCTACAAACTCTCTATTAAACGCGGTATTCACTTTTCGTGCCTTATGTTTCACCAATGCACCCCGTATATACTCGAGCACAACGTCTCTCGCATCGTGAAGAAAGTTACGCGGTTCGATGTAGTGCGAATTTAAAACAGCGCCGGTTAATACGCGCCTCTCGAACGCAGTGTCTATTTCACGCCACAAGAGTTCAGTGCTTGAATGGCCGGCTCCTTCGTACACGAAACGTCTGCGCAACGAATACTTTAGACTATCGAGATGCGCGATACGAGCGATCAACGATTGTTGAATCCCGATCGATAATCGAGGGAGTTTTGCTCGACTATGTTCTTCCAGCGACACAAGGCACTCGTTGCATCGTTCTTGCCATGCGAGGTTCTTTCTCTTCTTGCGAAGTCAATCAATCGGCCTGGTCCCACAATTGACTTTCCATTTCCAAGAGTTCTTCCATGGTTGCACTTACTTCTTCGCTGGGGGCACTACCGAACGGTTTGAATGCAGTTCAATCTGCAACACAATTTTTATAGTGTAGGCCACGTGATTCTGTCACGTGATTTTGTCACATGATATGCCCCTACTATGATGTCACTGCCTGCAGATTAACAAATGATTCCGCAGAATTCTACCACTCACATCCTCAACTGGTATACTTCCTTCGCACGTGCCCTTGTATTGATTTACTCCTAGTTCTCGAGCGTATTATTAGATATTTGTTATTAAGAATTTATAATACGTATAAAAAAAATTAGATCGCGCGCGCGCGCGCTACGCGAAGGTGTGTATGCTAAAAATAAATGTGGATAAGAAAGGGAAATGTGTGTGGGAGGGGAGATTTGCTGTTTCAGCATTTTTTTTGTTCATCTGACAAAGAGTGGGGGGTGTTATATAAAAATGTCTAAACCCGTTTTTTTCAATCATGGTTCGCAACATCGTTCTATCGCCTCGTATTGAAACATCAGCGATGTGGTCCAATGCTGAAATCGCTCGAGCAAGGCGAGAGAATCTTCCGAACAAGGAGTTCAACCAACCATTAACAAAGAAATCGCGCACACAATAAGTTCTTTGACAACATATTGCAAAATGTGCATTCAAAATTCAATATCCTTTATAATCTTTGTTTCTCTTGTCAGCGATAGCGATAATGTACATTCGGAACGTAGAGTAATACGCGTGGTGCGTAAACTGGGGAGGAGATATCCCCTGACAAATACATTCTACAAGTATCTTGACATCGGGGTTCGAATCGGTGGTTCCTGCGACGTGGAGCTGGCTATAGGAGACTCTCGTGGAAACGAGATTAAATTTTCTATGGATACGTGGAAAGATCTTCTACGAAAGAGGCATAACATTCCTCAGATTTATGCTGATACATCGGGAACCTCGAACGAGCCGATAAACATTTAATGATGTAACAGTTAAATTCCGATAACTAAACGACGTAAAACTAGTAAAACTCTCAAATTCTACCGTCTGTATGATCATGAGTGAAACAACCGGACAAAAGTTGTTCGCTTTCGAATATTGTATCGATCACATGTACAGTTGGCTGTCTGAAAACTTGTACCTGGTAGAATCTAAGTACAACAAGTTTATAGAAATAATGCAAAATGCTGAAATTAAGGATTATGCAAAGGCAATTGTTGAATATGAAAATTTTGAGTGTCATTCATTGATTGACTCTGAATTGTTAGCATTAGGTTTAGATGTAATGGTGGAATACAGTTATCAATAAAAAAAATAGCTTGGATATGTGTCTTTCTTTCTAGCGCATTTCCTCCCATATCATATTCTCATCCGGTGTAATGTTTCTTTCGCACGTTCTCCAGTATTCTCGTCGCCAACGAATGATGTCACCTCTACCGTTTCTTTAATATTTAGTCCTTGAGAAATTGTATCGCGCAAATAAAAGATTTGCTGCCGGATTGTAATTTGCAAACTTTGCGTTTTTGGATCTTCTGCTCGAGGGTATTTTCGCGAGATATTCCTACCGATATCGTGCGCTCTACAAAGATTGTAATGTAATATTATATGTTGCACGGAGCATAAGTGCGAGGAAGAAAATACTCGGGCGCGAGTGAGAGAGGGAACCCGCGGAGCCCGAAAAAATATCCCCACTCTTGCGTGCGAAGAGGACGGTTTCCCCTACCCTTACGCGGTTATTTCGTTACATGTAAAATTCGCGTTTTTATTTTTTACCGATCACTGATAATTACCGACCGGTGGTGTCCCCCTGTACCTTAAGGGGATAAACACGGGTAATGCAGCCCTCTGTAATTCGACAAAATCTAGCCCGAAATATGGGTTAGCTTTGCCCACAGATTTTGTCCTTATATGAGCATATTTTGAGCTCAATGGGGGCTCATTCCAAAGAGGAAGGTCTAAGGAATGGCGCTCTGGTCGTGGTTGAACGATATTGTGTCGATATGTAATAAATGAGCGTCCAAAGTCGAGCAAAAGTCGAACAAAAGTCGAGCAAAATACATCCGCAGAATAGTTGTATTTTTAGGTCACTAAAAAGATTTTGTAACTCAAACGACGACCAGAGCGCCATTCCTTGGACCTTCCTCTTTCGAACGAGCACTCATTGAGCCAAAAATATGCTTATATAAGGACAAAATTTGTGGGCAAAGCATTGCATTCCCAGAAACGAGATTCCGCCATTTTGACGATAATACAG